TAAGTTAAACACTTTTGATCCATTGGCATTTTCAAGTTTCTCTAGGAGAAGATAATCCATTTAGGCTACTGAACTTCTGGCTTAGTGAGAATGCAGTAGCTTTTTGAATACTTGATGCCACAATAGCTGGAACGTGGTACACAGGAACCACTGAGTAAAGCTCAAACAAGTTTGCCTTCAGGGAGTGTTTTGATTGGACAAAGCCCTCCATCCTGGTTCTCGGTGGAGATGGGGAATGTCCATGGCACGCCCCTGGGCTGGCTCAGCCCTGAGAGTGACGGTCCCAGGGAAGCGGACGAGGGGGTGGGGGGAAACGGGCACGGAAAGCAGCTATTCTCGATAGACTGTCTTTTGCAAAACAGAATTCTATTTTTTCAAAGTGTGCCTATACTAAGTGTAGCTTCGTATCGTTGGAGTGCAAACATTCTGTGTGGCAAAGGTCACAAGCTAAGATTGGGCCCTTTGACATATTTTAGTTGGTCTGCATGGTAAGGTGATGTGTGTGTGTGTGTGTGTGTGTGTGTGTGTGTGTAAGTAAGTAGTTGTAACCATTTAAAAATTAGGAAATTTCATACCAAAAAAAGGCTTGTCTTGAAAAGTTACAAGGGCTGACAACACTGGGCCCGTATCTCGGTGGGGTGTCAGGTAGTAGCTGCTCCCTTTCGGTGGGGAACCTACCCTTCTACCTGCCTACTTACCTCCTTTGTGTGACCTGACTTGCCCACTGTAGGAAGTTGATGTCACCGTCGCCTGCCATCTGGAGAATGCGTATCCTAAAATCTCCATTGGTGGGAAAAATTCCACAAAAGAGTGTAGAAATGATACTGAATAAATTTTCAGTTAAGTTTTCTGTTATGAAATTAGACCTGGAAGGAATAGACTATATAGATGTTAGTGGGCTATTTCTTATTAATGTCGTCGGTGGAGTACAAGTAGTAATTTCTGACTGTGAAAAAGGAACTAAAAACCCTGGGTCAGTTCGGCTTGGGTCTCAGGTCCGTTGGGTGCTGGCGGAGCCCCACTGACTCGACAGTGGTACGAAGTTCCTAAAGTTGAAATTTGAGGCGGCTCCTATTGAAAGAGAATGAAACGGGTAAACTTTCAGCTTATGAAAGTGAAGAGATGCTTCATGCTCCTCTGAGATTCAGCAATATTTGCTGTGATTTAATGGGTTTAGTTTGCACTGCTACCTCTGGGTGATGTTTTTGGTTTCTTCCTTCTTGTGTCCCGGCTCCCCCAAAGCCTGTCGTTCAAATGTTGCTGTGTGATAAGTTGGTCAGCGTAGCTATCGCTAAGTTGACCAACCAGACACGTTCTTCTCGCCATGAAAGGAATATGGCTTAATTGGGATTATTCACCCTGGTTTTGGGTTTTTCCTCTGAAAAGATAGAAACCCTTATTTTTTTCTGAAGAGATGTACTTTATAGAGAGAATTAAACATGTAAAAATTTTGAGAAGAGGTTTGTTCCAGGATGTTTACTTATTACATTCTCCAACTTTCATAAGAGGATGTTTTATATCGATACCAGTTTGGAATCTGGAACGTAAACTCTTCTGTTTTTTCAGTTTTATTGAGGTATGAATTACATATCATTAAAGTCATTCAAGTGTATGATTCAGCGAGTTTTAGCAAATTTACTGAGTTGTACAGTTGGCACCACAATCTGCTCTGAGAACATTTTGTCACCTTAATAAGATCCCTCACACCTGTTTACAGTAATCCCCATTCCTCACCCCCTTACCCCCCACCCCCAAACCCCGCCTCCCCATCCCAGGCAACCACTGCTCAATTTACTCTCTGTCTATGGGGTTGCCTTTTCTGGACATTTTATATAAATGAAATCATACGTGGTCGTTTTTAGTTTTTCATTAACTTGTTTCTAAATTCATCCGTGTTGCTTCTAAATTCATCTGTGTTGTAGCATACCAGTATTCTGTTCCTTTTTATTGTCCAATACTATCTGATTTTATAGATAACGCTATATTTTGTCCTACCAAGTTGAAGGACATTTAGGTGGTTTCCGCTTTGGGGCTGTTAAAAATAACGCTGCTTTTGAACATCAGCGTGCAGGTCTTTGTGTGGACGTGGCGGTTTCGTTTTCCTTAGGTGCCTGAGTGGAGTTGCTGGGTTATATGGTAAATTTCTGTTTAACTTTTTAAGAGGTTGCCAAGCTGTTTTCCAAAGTGACTGAATCGTTTTACATACTGAATGTCAGTGTAAGAGGGTTCTTGGTGAGGTTACATCCTCACCAACCTTTGTTATTATTTGTCTTCTTTTATTATAGCCAACCTAGTAGTTGGAGTGGTGTCTCTTTGTGGCCAGTGATGTTGAGGATCTTTTCATGTGCTGTTTAGCAGTTCATATATCTTCTTTTGGTGAAATGTTTATTCAAGTGTGTTGTCCACTTAACAAAACTGAGTTGTTATTAACTTGTAGTTCTTTTTATTCTACGTAAAAGTCGTCTATCCAATATGAACTTGCTAAATACCATGTACTAGCCACAGAGGGCAACCTCAAATCCTGCTGTACAATTTTCATCAAAAGCTTGGTTTCAACAACTGCTTATAGATGCTTGTCTAAAGGGTATTTAATCTGGCTTATTATCTAAATTCTTCAATTCATTTTTGGATTATATCAGACCTTCGAAAGCTTTTAAACTTCTTTTGACTCAATAGTATTGCTTTTATTAACCTGTATTTTACTCTATGCTTTTTGTCTATATTGATGGTTATTGAAATCAGCCCTATGATGCGTTTTACTTTAAAATGAAGAGCTTACTTTTAAAAATGTTTCCTTTTAATGAATTTCGATTGAAGAAATTTCTTTCCAGTCCGAGGACGAGACAAGGTTTCTCCTGTCAACGGACTCACTTTTGTTTACTTAGTTTAGAATTCTTTTTTAATGTAGAAAATGTACATAACATAAAATTAACCCTTTTAACCCTTTTTAGGGTGTACAGTTCAGTGGCATTAAGTCCGTTCACATTGTTGTGCAGTCGTCCCCACTGTTCATCTCCAGAGCCTGTCCGTTATCCCCAGCTGAAACTCATTCGCCTGTAACTCCCCATTCTCCCCTCCCCCGAGCCCCTGGTAATGGCTGTTTTACCTTCTGTCTATGAATTTGACTATTCTAGTTACTTCATATAAATGGAATCATTCAAGACTTGTCCTTCTGTGTCTGGTTTGTTTCACCTAGCATGTTGTTAATGTTGCAGCATGTGTCAGACTTTCATTCCTTTTTAATGCTGAATAATATTCTACTGAATTTTGCTTATGCATTCATCTTTCAAAGGGCATTTCGGTCATTGCCATCGTCTTGACTGTTGTTAACAACACTGCAGTGAACAGTGATGTGCAAATACTGTTTGAGTCCCTGCTTTCCGTTCTTTGAAATACGTACCTAGAAGTGGAACCACTGGATGCCGTCAAGGCTCATCCATGTTGGGATGTATGACAGGATTTCCTTCTTTTTTAAGGATGGATTTTATTGCACTGTATGTATATACCACGTTTTCTTTATCCGTTCATCCATCAGTACACATTTAGGTGGCTTCTACCTCTTGGCTATTGTGAATAATGCTGCAGTGAACATGGGTGTGCAAATATGATCTTCAAGATCTATTTTGTCTTCTGTATATATGCTCAGAAGTGAGATTGCTGAATCATGATAATTCTATTTTTTAACTTTTTAAGGAACTTCCATGATGTTTTCCATAGCAGTTGCACCCATTTCACATTCCTACCAACAATGCTCAAAGGATCCCTGTTTCTCCACATCCTTGCTACACTTAACTATTTTCTGTATTTATTAGTGGCCATCATTGTGAGATGATAGCATGTGGTTTTGATTTGTATTCTCCCGATGATTAGTGAGGTTTTCATACGCTCGTTAGACATTTGTATATCTTTACAGAAATGTCAGATCAAATCCTTTGCCCACTTTTTGATGAAAATTTTCATTTCCTATTTCAACCCTTCTCATTACTTTGTTTTCTTTGCTATGCAGAAGTTTTTAGGTAGGATATAGTCTCAGTTGCCAATTTTTGCTTTATTTTGCTTGTGTTTTTGGTGTCATTTCCAGGAAATCATTGCCAGATCCAGTATTACAAAATTTGTCCTCTGTATTTTCTTTTAGGAGTTTTATAATTTCAGACCTTAGGGTTAGGTCTTTAATCCATTTCAAATTAGCTTTGGCATGTGATAAAATAAGGGACCATCTTCATACTTTTGTCTCTGGGTATCCAGTTTTCCAAATACCATTTATTGAAGAGGCTATCCTTTCCACATTGTGTAGTCTTTACACCCTTGTTGAAAATTATTTGGCCAT